TACCGCGTGAAGCTGACGCTGGACTCGGAGTCGGCACAGGACCTGGAGGAGGCGTATAGGTTCCTGATGAGGGAGCTGCCGCCGGGCGTAGCTGTGCCACTGGTGACGGACTGTGTCTCTCCAGCTGCCACGGAGGTTTATGGCCTGGCTGACTCAGGTACTGGGAAGAGCTGCTGCTCGGCTTGGTGTCTCCAGGCAGGGCTGGGACAGTGGGAACACCAGCTAGGACAGTGGAAACACCAGTCTGAGGCACTGGGATACCACCTGGGGCAGAGGGAGCACCATCCTGGGGGCACTGGGAACACCATCCTAGGACAGTGGGAACACCAATCTGAGGCACTGGGATACCACCTGGGGCAGAGGGAGCACCATCCTGGGGGCACTGGGAACACCATCCTAGGACAGTGGGAACACCAATCTGAGGCACTGGGATACCACCTGGGGCACTGGGATCACCATCCTGGGGCACCACAAACACCACCTGGGGTGGTGGGAGCACCAGCTGAGGCACTGGGAACACCAGGTGGGAGCAGAGCTTGCCTATTGTGGTGTGCAGTGGGGCTTGAGGGGTGCTGAGGTGCTGCAGCCACAGTGAGCTTCACTCCACACAGGTAGGAGAGGGACTTGGACCCCCAGTTAGAGCTGCTGGTGCCAGAGTCAGAGCAGAGTATGCAGCAGGAGCAGCAATGCTCTGGTTCCCCAGTGCCCTTTCTGATCCCATCCTGGCACAGACCTCCACATTGTGCAAGCTCTTGGCTCCAGGCTGCTGCTGTGTGCTTGGAGACCCGAGGCAGTGTGACTCTGGGCAAGCACTGACCGTCCCCTCCCAGCAGGCTCAGCCCTGGGGCAGAAGGTGGCAGCAGCCCTGCGAACCATCGAGGAGGCTCTGGACCAGTACAGCCTGTCCCAGCTCTGCGTGGGCTTCAATGGGGGCAAGGACTGCACGGCCCTTTTGCACCTTGTCCACGCTGCCCTGCAAAGGTACCTCCCTGTGGGGCTGGAGGGTCCTTGGGGGCTCTCCCTGCCCCACTCTGTGGGGAGGGTTGGATCCTTGGGGCTCTGGGCACTGCCTTGGCTGCTCTGGGCCAGAGCTGATCCGCTCTGTGTCTCTCCACAGACGTTCACCAGCAAGGCAGGAGAAGCTGCAGGTGCTGTACATCCGTACCGTGTCCCCCTTCCCTGAGATGGAGCAGTTCATCCAGGCCAGCGTGCAGAGGTAGGAGGCCGAGCAGGGTGGGCTGTGGGCAGGGGGTGTGCAGTGCTGCCTGCAGGCAGCTGCCTGCCCTGCCTGCACAGGTACGGGGTACAGCTGTGCACCGTGGAGGGCTCCATGCGGGACGCCCTGGCCCAGCTGAGGGAGCAGCAGCCACAGCTGGAGGCTGTGCTGATGGGGACGCGGCGCACGGACCCCTACTCACGCACGCTGACGCCCATGTGCCCGACGGACCCCGACTGGCCCCGGTACCTGCGTGTCAACCCCCTGCTGGTATGTGTCCTCCTGCTTTGGGGCCTGGCAGGGGTGAAGTGACGGGGCTGGGAGCTGGTACTGATCCACCTCCATCCTGGAGGTCTTCTCTTGGGATTCCTGCTCTCCCCAAAGAGTCTCCTGCCCCATTGTGTGGCTGTGGGTGTCTCTGCCTGGTGCTGTTCCTGCTTGCTGGAGAGGGACAGAGGTGCTCTGGCTTTCCTCAAGGAGGGGCCAGCTCACTTTTCTTGGGGTTGAGGGAGCAGCCTGCTGCCTCTGCCTCAACCCCCACCCAATTCTGCCTGCAGGACTGGACCTACCGGGACATCTGGGAGTTCCTACGCAAGCTCTTTGTCCCCTACTGCATCCTCTATGACAGGGGGTGAGTTCCCCGTGCTGCCACCCCCCCGGGCAATGCCAGTGCCTGTGGACACAGCACTGCAGCCTCCTCCTCCTCCCTCCACAGCTACACGTCTCTGGGGAGCATGGCCAACACGCAGAGGAACCCAGCGCTGCGCTACGTGGATGCTCGGGGCCGGGAGAGCTACCGACCTGCCCACGAGCTGGAGAAGGAGCGCACGTCCCGGCAGTGAGGGCTGCGCTGCAGGAGGCTCTGCTGGGCTGACTCTGAATAAACCTACTGCCTGTCAGCACTGAATAAAGCTGCTGCGGTCTGCGCTGGCATGGGGCCTTGTCCTGAGCGCCCTGCGGGGCATTAGCAGGAGAGGGAGGAACAAAAGGGTCCCCATGCCATGCCCCCTCCCCTATTGTGGATGCTTTAGAAGCGCAGAGAATGGAGCAGGTTCCAGTGCTCACCAGGGCCCCACGTGTGGGCACTGCTGTCTCTCCCCCCTCGTCAGACCCTGCTGATCCCTCGTTGGCCATGTATC